TGTGCCCTATGTTTTTACTCCTTCTACTGGTAACAATGAATAATTATGCCAGGTGTTGTGAAAATACAAAGTCAAGGATGTATTTTTTCTCAGCCTCCATTAATTATAATGTACTATTAACATAAAGTCTAATTCTCCACATAAGCTCATTCACAAAAATTTTACTTAAAAAGCAATGCTTGAGCTTCTCCATTAAAAGATCGGAGGTCTCAGAATACGATATTCTGGAGGGCAAAGGAGCTAGGATTATAGCCAAGAATCACCTACCCAGCAAAACTGAGTATAATCATTGAGGGGAAAAACAGACATTCAATGAAATAGAGGCTCTTCAAGCATTCTTGATGAAAAGACAAGAGCTGAATAAGAAATTTGACTTTCAAATACAAGACTCAAGAGAAGCACAAAAAGGTACACAGGAAAGGAACTTAATGAGATTAAACTGTCTGCATTCCTACATGAGAAGATGATACTTATAACTCACAGGAACTTTCTTATTGTTAAGGCAGTTAGAAATTGTTAGACAGGTGTAAGTCGAATATGAAGGGATGATATCTAAAAAATGAAAAACAATAAAATGAAGGGGCAAGAGGAATGTGCTTGGAGAAAGGGAAAGGGAGAAGTAGAATGGGGTAAATTATCTCACATAAAAAAGGGCAAGAAAAAACTTTTGCAGTGGAGAGGGAGGGAGAGAGTTGAGAGGGGGAAGGTGAACCTTACATTCATCAGAATTGGCTCAAAGAGGGAATAACATATACACCCAATTGGGTAAGGAAATGTATTGTACTCTACAGGAAAGTAGGAGGGGAAGGGGATAAAAGAAGAATGGGGGTGATATAAGAGGGCAGATTGTGGGAAGGAAGAATCAGAAGCAAAACACTTTTGAGGAGGGACAGGATGAAAGGAGAAAGAGAATAGAATAAATGGGGAGTGGGACTAGGATGGAGGGAAACAGTTAGCAATAATAACTGTGAAAAAAACTTTGAAGCAAACTTCTCTGATAAATTCCTCATTTCTCCAACATAGAGAGAACTGTCAAAGTTATAAAAACAATAGCCATTCCCCAATTGATAAATGATAAAAAATTATGAACTTTTCAAATGAAGTAATCAAAGCTATCTATAGCTATATGAAAAAATGCTCAAACTCACAATTGATTGGAGAAATGCAAATTAAAAAAAATTCTGAGATACTACCTCATACCTATTAGATTGGCTAATAGGACAGAAAAGGGAAATGTCAAATGTTGGAGGAAATGTGGGAAAAATGAGTTGGTGGAGTTGTGGATTGATTCAACCATTCTGTCAAGCAATTTGGAACTATGCCCAAAGGGCTATAGAACATGCATACCTTTTGACCTAGCAATACCACTACTAGGACTGTATCCCAAAAGAAATAAAATAAACAGAAAAAGACCTATAGGTACAAAAATATTTATAGTATCTCTTTTCTGGTGGCAAAGAATTGGAAATTGAGGAGATATCCATAAATTGGGGAATGACTGAACAAACTGTGGGATGTGATTATGATGGAATACTATTGTGCTATAAGAAATGATGAGCAGGATGCTCTCAGGAAAACCTAGAAAGACTTACGTAAGCTAATACAAAGTGAAATGCACTGTGTACAAAATAACAGAAATATTGTAAGATGATCAGCTTGAATGACTTTGTTATTCTCAGCAATACAACGATCCAAAACAATCTGAAGGACTTAGGAAAAATACCACCCATCCCCAAAGAAAGAACTGATGGTGTCTGAATGTGCAGATTGAAGTATACTTTATTAGCTTTCTTTATTTTTCTTGAGGGTGTTTTTTGGTCTATGTTTTCTTCTACAACATGACTGTTATGGAAATATTTTGCATGCCTACATATGTATGACCTATATCAAATGAAGAAATTAAATTAAAAAATTAAAAAGCAATCCATGCAAATGTATCTAGTTTGAAACTAGACTATAGTTTCTTTACTGACTGGGTCTTATCAATAATGAAACTTCCAGATACAAAAAGGATTTAACCTTAAATTAATTCAATATCAATTTTCCTGGGTTTTGATGTTTGTGTTCTCCTGCTTCTGAAATTCTGCTGACAGTTTTGTTGTTTGAGACTCCAATTCGAGAAATTGAATCCAGTGAAGATACAAATTTGTAAAGATACAGGTTCAGGTCTGGAGAAGCTCCAATAATTAATTTAGTGGCTTCTTTCTTTTTAGCTGCAAGGTACCTGGCACGACAGGAAAACAAAAGCAAACCTTTCCAGCTTTACCAGGTAATAAACCTTTGAAAGACAATGTTCCAAATAAATGGGCTCAATTCAAGTAAAAATAAAAGGCCTTGATGTCAAAAACTGCTTAGCATTATACACAGCCTGATAATGTATAATGGAAAGCATATTCAGTTAGTTATGAGTAATAATTTCATGGGAATGTTATACTGAATTACTTCAAGAAGCTTATATGTAGGGAAATGGCTATTAGTTGCTTTTGGATCTTTGCCCTTCAATTATTTTAAAAATGATTTTAAGAGAAAAATGTGTATTTTTAAAAGATTTGTTTTCAACATCCAGGTACTCAAATAAAATATTCTCTCAGATTGTTTCTGTCAAGTAGATTTTCCCCAGAGTCACAGGGAATTTGAAATTAGAAGCTCTAAGACAGCTTTTCATGTTCTACTAGCACACTGGAGGTTCATCTAACTTTCTCCTAGGGGTCCATGTGGTCAAACTGCTTTAAAGTTAGGTCTTGTAACCAGAAGTTACTTTTAATTTTCCAACAACTTATCCCTCTTGAACAGGTGTTCAAGAAATATCAAACTGATATGATAAATGGAATTAATGTTCAAGTCAATTTTCAATGTAATATTTAAAGCTAATTTAAAACCATGAACTTGAAATAAGCTATACATTATTACTATAGGTTATTATTTGTAGAGTCATGGACAAGATCCTACATTTGAGATCATAGAGACCTGGGTTTAAATCCAGCCTCAGGAACTGAGTAACTCTGTTTGTTGCTGAGTTGTTTCTCAATTATGTCCAACTCTTCATGACCTCATTTGGGGTTTTCTTGGCAAAGATACTGGAGGGGTTTGCCATTTCCTTCTCCAACTCATTTTTACAAATGAGGAAATTAAAGCAAAGAGGGTGAAGTGACTTGCCTAGTGTCATATGGCTAGTAAGTGTCTGAGGCCAGATTTGAACCCAGGAAGATCGAGTCCTCTTGACTTCAGGCCCAGCCCTCAATCCACTGTACCACCTAGCTTCCCGACATAACTATGTGGCTCTACACAAATCGTTTAGTTTCTCACAACTTCAGTTGCCTCACTTTATAAAATAGGAATAATAATATCTCCTTTCTCTTAACACTGTGGCTTCAATTAAAACAATGCATGGAAAATGCTTCATAAACTATAAAGTGCTATATAAATGCTAGCTGTTATTGTTAGTACTACTACTACTTCTAATGCTATTTCTACTACTCCTACTCCTACTTCTACTACTACTCCTGGTGCTGCTGCTGCTACTGATGCTACTACTAGTACTACCAGTACTACTCCTACTCCTACTCCTACCCCTACTCTTACCCTTACTCCTACCCCTACTTCTCCTCCTCCTTCTTTTATCACTACTACTACTAGAATTCTGGCCTAGGCACCAAAAGTTTCTGGTTAAGAATATTATTTTATGTCTGTATCTTAAGTTTTCATGCTGACCCTTTATGAACATAAATAGACCAAAAGGAAAACACTGTAGGCATTAGAAAGCTGCTAAAGAAGAGTTGATAGAGAACACCTAACATTTATATGGTAGTTAGCAGTTACAAAATACTTTCCATTTTATTCAGTCCTCACGTCAACCCTGTGAGGTAGGTTACGAAAATCTTATTCTCCTTTTATTCATTATTATTATCATTAGGATTATAAATCTAAAGTTGGAAGAGACCTCAGAGGCCATGTAGTCTGACACTTTCATTTTACAGATTAGGAAACTGAGGCCCAGGCACTTCTTCATGCAGGCAGAGGTAAGATTTGAACTTAAGCACTCTGACTCCACCACCTTTGCTGGTTCCATTGTGCTGTTGGAAAGTCATGGATGAGAGAGGTTCAACAATCTGTCTAAGGTTACAGAGTTTAGTAGAGTGGTAGAGGCAGGATTCCAGACTGGAACTCAAATGACCTGATAGGTAAGTATAACTGACTGTGGGAATCTAAGTTGTTCATTTAGGTTCTGTGTGCTCTGTATGTCAAGTTAAAATGATGATATGTGTCCAATTCCATAGGAAAATTATGAAGACTTCAGGGAATAACAACAACAATAACAACAACTTCGTTAGTATATCAGCTGCTTGTGAAGAAAAGATAAGATCTAAAAAAAAATAAACTAAATAGGGGCAGCTAGGTGGTGCAGTGGATAGAGCACTGGCCCTGGAGTCAGGAGGCCCTAAGTTCAAATACAATCTTGGTCACTTATTAGCTGTATAACTACTTAACCCCAATTGAGTCTAATTAAAAAAAAACAAAATATAAAGTGATAGACACAGAAAAACAGTATAGAGACTGGAAAAGTGGTGAAGGGATTATATCTAATGTTGAATACAGAGAAGCTATAAGCTAGCTCCAAATGGGAACTAGAATGGTAGGACTTCCCTTAATAATGGAGAGGATCACGGTGAATATGAAATACAAATAGAAAACAAGAAATGGAACAGAAAACAGATATGTGAGAAATATAGGAAATTTATAGGAAAGAAATAAGGAATAAATGAAAAGAATGATCAGGGTTGATGATAATTCAAATGTATACAGTGTTTTAAGTTTTATTATAGAATTACAGAATATCAGATTTGGAAAGGACTTCAGAGGCCACATCTTGGACCAAGAGGAAAGTGCTTTGTAAACCTGAGTGTGCCATTGAAATGTGAATTGTTGTGGTTGTGGTTATCTGTGTTCATATGTGTGGCTATTTTCATTCATAAGCAATCACCCTGTGAAGGGTCACTCACCAACTATTCAGGCAACTCATCTTCCTTTTGCACAACTTTTGCTGCCAAGAAGCTATTTCTTAGCTCCAGGATAATGGAACTGCTGTTGAGACTTCACTTTCTTGAAGTAAAGTGAACTCAAGTGAAGGAAAGCTGTTGAAAGATGGTAGTGGCTAATTAGTCTCTTGTCCAGACTCTTTCTCAACACAGGGAGCCCTGAAGAAAACTCCAAGATATCAAAGGTGCCATGATTATTATTATCATTAAGAAATAAGGTGAAACATTAGCTGTGATAACTACTGTGTAACTTCTCTATTCCCCATCACTGGGAAGATCCTAGCTAATATTCTCCTGAGAAGCACCCAGAATTAATTGTCTTTACTACTACACAATATCGATTTAAATAACAATGCAATCTAAAACACATAATTTATATATCATCAGGGAAAGATCCAGGAATGTATAGGGGAAAAAATCCCATAGGAGAGAGAACAGAAAGAAGTTCAGAAGAGACTCAGCCAAGCTGGGGAGTTTTGGTACTTTTGTGTTCAATTTAACATATGCTTTAATAAAAAATACATGAAATAGAAGTTCTTGGTTTTATTCATCAAGCATAAATCTACCCATACATGTACGCTTTGGAGCCAAGCATCACAAATCTAATTTATTTTCCATGGCAACCTTTAAAATACTCGAAGACTATAAAGGACTTATCCCACAACAACCCTGTGAAAAAGGTCAATTAAGAATTTGCGCCCCCATTTTACAGATAAGAAAACTGAGGCTCAGAAGGTTGAAGCAATTTGTTTGCAGGACAAAAGCTAATAAATGGAGAAGCGAGGATTTTAATCCAAGTCTCCTGATTCTGAGTACAACACTTTCCAATACACCAAACTGCCCTGAGGTTTCTCACAAGGATGATGAGTAGGGGAAGGCAATTAGAGAGTTCATGAGACTTAGGGGAGAAATATAAAAGTGTTACATGGGGATTATGATTGTGTGTGAGTAGGAGTGGAGTTTGAGAGATATTCATATAATGATTTGGAAACCATAGAAAAAGAAGTGTCACATAAGCTTTAGGAGTAGAAAATGTGTGGTTAGGATTACCTGGTGAAAGGAAAAAGAATAGCTGACTAGATAATAATCATTTATTAGATAAATATAGTGACATGAATAAAAAAGACACCATAGGACATAGAAGAGGGAGAAAAAAAGGTAAATTTAAACAAGCAATAGGTAAAAAAAAAAATTGTGTATGAAGAGATAAAAGAATTGCAAGTAGATTAGTAATGCTGACCTTCCCAAATGCAAGAAGTAATGATGGCTAAAACAGATGAAACCAAAAGTCAAGGAGGTTGACATCAATTGCTCATGCCCTCAAGAAAAGCAACAAAGTCTTAGAGCCAAAAATAGAGATTTTAACATGTAATTTTCTTTCAGTCATGAAAGTAGAGCAAAGAAAGTAAAATGATAAGTCAAAGTAAAACCCTAATAGTATTAATGGAAGGAAAAGAAAGACTATAGAATAAAGGGGTAGGAAGAAATCATTTGCATCAAAGTAGAACAGGACGTGATTTGGGCTAACATGAAAAAAGTGTTGTTAATATACATTGATATGTTCCTTTTGCAATATTTGCAATATTGAGTTGTTTGCAGCTTACAAAGCATTTTCTTCACATCTCTCCGCTCTAGTTAGAGCCAGTACAGACAAAGAAGCTTGATGGCATAATTGCTTTTCTAGTTAATAAGCAAATATTCTTATACTAAAGGGCAGCATGTAATAGTGAAATGAGAGCTTTCTACAGAGCTAAGATATCTGGGTTCTAGTCCTTCCTCTGATTTATATCGATTGTGTGACCCTGGGCAAAACACGTAATCTCTTACTACTCCAGGCAACTCTAAAACTCTAGGTTGCAGAGAAGAGTCTAATTTGTATTGGTAAAGAGAATTTTCTCATCTAGAATTTCCCTGTACCAATATAATTACAGGTCTAGCATCTATTCCTATCCTTATATTAAGATACCAAATATGCTAGGAATTTTTCTCTAGATGTTATGACATTGCAGGGATGTCATTTGATTTAGCTTCAATATTTTCCAACAATGCTAGAAGCACCTAGGTGTTGCGCTGGACCTCGATTCAGGAAGACCTGAGTTTAAATCCAATCTCAGATACTTATTAGCTGTGACCTTAAAAAAGTCATTTGACCCCTGCCTTTTTCAGTGGAAATTGTTGTGAAGAAAAAATGTGATAATATTTGTAAAATAATTTTGCAACTTTAAAGCACTATATAAATGTAAGTGATGATGATGATAATGATGATGATGATATATGACTGTAAGTCATGGAACACCACAGTCTTCAGAGAATTAAAATTCTTGGATCCCCAAAGATCAATGGAAAGATGTATAGCAATGTAAATAATGATAATAATAATACCTTAGTCATACAATCTACATTGCGTCATTAAGGATAAACCTGTAACATCAGGTGGTAATGCAGCAATCCTGAATTGCTACCATAAACTTATAATTTCTATAAACATCTCTATGGCCCAGGTATTTGTTCAATAATTCTTGCTCCATATATTGTTGATTGAGTTCATATCAATGTTGCCCCTGGAATGCCTTTTGATTTCACTCTCGGGTCTTAATTTTATCCTAATCCTCAACCAAAGATAAACCACCTTCAGCTACATTCAATAGTATTTTAATTAGAGAACATTTTCTTGGGTGTACATCACTATACTTAGATCTATTTCATAATAATATTTACCATGGCTGACTTATATCTATAAGTGTGTACTTCCAACTGAATTCAAGGATTTGTAATTATCAATGGTGGCAGTATAAATATTATTGTGCTTTGGAGTGGTTTGTTGAATAGTTACTAAGTCAATGAATTGTTTCTTCCCTTTGAAACTTTGTGATACTTCTTTTTGCCTTTCAGTCAATGTATTGTTTTCTTGTGAGTATTCATAGACCTTTTTGAATTACAAACCTGTGAATGTTTTGTATAAAGTAAATAAATGTGTGATTGGTCTATATATAAAGAGTCACTGGTGTTCTAATGTTTTGGTAATAAATGATGCCAAAAAAATATGACATCAGTTTTACATTGGAAAGGAAAATAGTGAAATATTTTGCTATTAATTAATTCATGGCTGTGAAGTGTTTGAGCTAATAACAATTCCTTTAACATAACCATTCTGTCATTCATCATATTATTGGCACAAAGAGTTATTACGTTTAGTGCAACATGTACTTTTAGTGTAGCAGACATTTGTCAACCAGATTAACAACCAGAAGTTTTCCACATCCTCCTTCTTTGAGGGTTTTCTCTCACTTCTAATTTCTTTGCTTCTCAAGCCTTTATAGCATAATTTTCAATACATATATATATATATAATATATATGTGTATGTATGCATACATGTATCTTGTTCTTTTGTCTACTTTGGCTTTTTGTATCACCTTACATTTTTTACTTTTGCCTTTAATTAGAGATTATCATCAATATATCATGTACTTTATTTTCCAGTTTCTATTTCATTGCCTTTAATTAGGAATATGCTTATAAAGTTTTCTACTGTGTATGCCAACTCAATATTAATATAATCTCCCTATATATTTGCATGTTTTTGTTTTAATCTTTTCTATCATGGTAGTATTTGATACCTGTTCTTAAAAGTATTCTTAGAAAACTCCAAGTTTTTTCTCCTATTGTTCTTATACTGGCAACAGTCACAAAATATACTATTGTGTTTATATCCTGAAATGTGTTACATTCTCTGTCAAAAACTGGGGAGTAATTCATTCATTTAATGATAATTACAGCAGATCCCAGCTTTTTTAAAAAAAATTGTTCATTTCGGAATAGTTTGGTAGTTAGATTCTTGCTGTCATTAAAAAGAAGACTTCAAAATTCCTTTCTAAGTATGTCCATCTCCTTTTGAAACTTTCTTTTCTTTTCTTTTCTTTTCTTTTCTTTTCTTTTCTTTTTTTTAGGCAATTGGAGTTAAATGACTTTCCCAGGGTCACACAGCTAGTAACTGTCAAGTGTTGGTCAAAAGGAGATGTTATTTTTGCATATCTTAGAGATAAGGGTATTGTTGACAAAAATAGCATGAACTTGTTGGCTATGACTCATAAGAATTGACTTTGTTATGTTGTCGTACTGGCACATGATAAAAGCATTCAAATAATAAATTCACATTTTATGCCCATTTTATGCACTCATGGGGTTGCCCCTTTAGTGGTCAGCAACATGTAGCAAAACATGATCAGATGATAGAATATTGGTATTTCTGATTCAACCAAATGTATCTTGCCTTCTTGTTATACAAGAACATGACAGAGGGATCACCCTTTCTGCTGTCTTTTGTATCAAGCTAATTACCTTAAAAATCACATGTGGGGTCAGTCTGTAACACTGTGCTGCCCCATCTAATTCTTATATTCATATGAATAGCTACATAACACTGGCCAGACTGCTAACCCAATCAGTGCTGAGTTATTTTATTGTTGTTATAATTATTAGTGTTATCATATTATCTTCTTCTCATAGTTTCCATGGGATTCAAGCAAAAATCTTCTTAAGATAATTTATTGTTGTTGTTCAGTTGTTTCAATTGTGTTTGACTCTTTGTGACCCCTTTTGAGGTTTTCTTGACAAAGATACTAGAGTGGTTTCAGATGAGGAACTGAGAAAATTTATTATTTTGCAGCTATTATTTTATAATTGAAGTCCTATGGACAGTTGTATAGGTCTATGTAATAATTGCTTTTTATATTTTAATAATAAAATTATTAAGACATACAGCCAGTATCTGTAGGCTCACTGGAAGCATGCTTTGTAGAACTCCTAACAGACAGGACATGATATGCCCCGTGACTTGTTCCCACATGATTATTCCCTCTGCTAGGTCTCTATTTTGAAAGTCTTTCATTATTCCATGTAACATGGAGGTTAAATATTTACTATGGCAATATCTATTTTAGAACACTGTTCTTGGATTATAATGAAACAATATTGTGGGCAATAGTTGTCTGTGAAAATGACATAGTTCCTGGGGCATTGATTGGTTATGTTCTCAAGGATGTTTTAAAGTCTATAGGGATTGTTGTTT